GTCACCCCTATAAAATGTGCAATTCAATCATTTTTAGTATATACAGAGCGGTACACAGCCATCACCATAATCAATTTTAAAGCATTTTAAAAATAGTTTTGTTTGACAAGAGGAGAATCTTGCTCACATAAATGCTCTATCATTTTATTTTTTTGGCTGCACCGCACAGCATGTGGGATCTTAGTTCCCTGACCAGGGATCGAACCCAAACCCCGTGCAGTAGGAGCATGGAGTCTTAACCCCTAGAACACCAGAGAAGTCCCTGAAGCATTTTTGTCATCCCAAAAAGAAAACCCATACCCACTAGCAATCACTCTCTATTTCCCCACCCCCTTTCCAGTCCCAGGCAACCACTGGTCTACTTTCTCTCTCTGTGGTTTGCCTCTTCTAGACATTTCACCTAAGTGGGGTCATACAGAATGAAGGCTTCTGTGTCTGGCTTCTTTCAGGTAGCATAATGTTCTCAAAGCTCTTTCACATAACATGTATCAGTAGTTCATTCATTTCTGCGGCTGAGTAACATTCCATTGTATGGAGCATGCTGCATCTTGCTTATCCTTCATCAGCTGATGGATATTCAGGTTGTTTCTTCCTTTGGTTGTGATAAGTAATGCTGCTGTGAACATTTGTAAACAAGTTCTTATGTGGGCATAGGTTGTCAGTTCTCTTGGGTATATGCTTAGGAGTGGGATTGCTGGGTCACTTGGTAACTCTATGTTTAACCTTCTGAGGAGGTTTCCCATTGCTTTTTTTAAAAATAATTAAAAAAAAAAATTTATTTGACGGCACTGGGTCTTAGTTGCAACATGCAAACTCTTAATTGCAGCATGTGAGATCTAATTCCCTGACCAGGGACTGAACCCAGGCCCCCTGCATTGGGAGCATGGAGTCTTAGCCACGGGACCACCAGGGAATTCCCTTCCCAGTGTCTTTGATTTGCCTTTCCGTGATGGGTAATTGTGAACATTACTTGAGTGAACTGAATGACAAAATCTACTAGGCTCAGCCAACTCAACTGCTCTCGAGATTATGGCAGGGCTGAAGTCTGATGCTAAGAGGTGCCCCACCCCTGCAACACACACACGCACACACACTCCCCCGCCCCCCACCACCAGCCAGGATCCTGTCTGAGGCCGGCCACTCTCCAGGGCAGCCCTCCACTCTGACTGGCAGGAGTGGCCAGCTCTGGGGGCTAAGCTCTAGGAAGCATCACTGCAGTCTCCTCCCCAGTATCGCTAGAACCATGGCTGGGTCTCCCCTCCTTCCATTTGCTCCTCAGCCTTTGTGGGAGCTGCTACTACCTCCTGAAAAAAAAGTGAGGCTCTGACTTCTGGGCCCTGGGACACCATCTGAGCCCTGTGCTAACTCAGTGAGGGGGGAGGGCTCCAAAGTGGCCAAGACTCAGCCCATGGAGCTCTCCCTGTAGTGGGAGAGGTACATAGTGCATGAGTAGACAAACATGTAAGGTGATTTCAGGAAGGGATAAGTGCAGTGAAGAAGAATAGAGAAAAGGGAAGTTGAGTGGCAAGTAGAGAGGCTGCCAATTTAGATGATAATAATAGTACTAGATGTGGCTTCCCAGATGGCTCAGTGGTAAAGAATCTGCCTGCCAATGCAGGAGGTGTGGGTTTGATCCCTGAGTCGGGAAGATCCCCTGGAGAAGGAAATGGCAACCCACTCCAGTATTCTTGCCTGGGAAATCCTATGGACAGAGGAGCCTGGTGGGCTGCAGTCCATGGGGTCCAAAAGAGTTGGACAAGACTTAGCGACTAACAATAGCACTAGACACTTCTGTGGTGTTTACCAAGGGTCAGGTGCCATTCAAAGCAGTTTACATATATTTCCAAGCGAGGCAGTCAGAGAAGCCTCTCTGTCACGGAGAAAACAGATCCTGTTCCCCTCCTGCCACACAGACACACACAGGCATGCTTCATGGGCACTGACTCTAAACCAGAAAAATAAGGAGCCATGTGAATTGCAGCATGTGGGTGCTCCAGAAGTGAAAGCAGCAAGCACAAATGTCCTGGGGTGGAAATGCATTTGGTAGTTTCTAGGACTGGTAGGGAGGGAGTGTGTGGGTGTGGAAGCGAAGGGAGGGAGCAGGAGGTGAGGTCAGCAGAGTGGAGGGGAGGTGCAGATCAGGGTAAGTGACCTCACAGGGAGACCTGTAGGGAGAACCCAGATTCGAACCCGGCTCTCAGGACCTGTAGCCCAGGGCTCTCTCGGGGACCACACACTCCTCTTCTGTCAACCTTGCTCTCATCTCCACTCCCAGAAGGCATCTCATGGAGGTCTGTAGCTCTCCTGCCTAGAGGCTGGGAGGACACAACGTGACCCTCTTTTCCCAGCCCTGTTGGGGCCCAGCATCAGCCTTCACTGGAGCCCAGGTCCACCCCTTCCCGACTGTGTGGCCTGGGCCAAGGGACCTGACCTCTCTGGGCCTCAGGTTCCTCCTGTGCCAAATGGAGATCTCACCTCAGAAGGTCTGTGTAAGAATTAACACAGGCTGAGATGGCGACTTCCCTGGTGGTCCAGTGGTTAAGCATCCGTCTTGCAGCGCAGGGGACGCGGGTTCCATCCCTGGTTGGAGAGCTTCGATATCACATGCCACGACGCAACTACTGAGCCCTCGAGCTCTGGAGCCCAGGCACTGCAACTAGAGAGTCCGTGCACAGCAACGAAAAGACCCCACAGGACGCGAGGAAGATTCCGAGTGCTGCAACTAAGACCCGACGCAGCCAAATACATGAATATATCTTTTTTTAAAAATACATTCGTATGAAGCTTTAAAAAAAATAGGGTGAGATATACCCAGTGCTTAGACTGACACCTTGTAAATGCTTAACAAATCTGGCTTTTATTATTTCAACTGCTATTTCATTTTATTTTTACTCCTGCCCTATCCTGGGTGTGATGGGCAGGGGTGGGTGCTTCTGGTTGGCATAGCTTGGAGCCAGGGATCTGGGGGCAGAGGGAGGAGGGAGAAGGTCCAGGGCGCAGACCCCCAGGAGGGGTCTCATCTGACATTGTAGGCCCAGTGCTAAGAGGATAAGTGAGTGAGCTGTGAGTCAGGAAGAACTTGCAAGGGCACTTCCCTGGTGGTCCAGTGGTTAAAACATCCCATTCCAATTCGGGGGTTGTAGGTTTCATCCCTAGTGGGGGGAGCTAAAATTTTACTTGCCTCATGACCAAAAATAAAACAAAATAAAACGAAACAGAAACAATACTGTAAAAAAATTTTAATACAGATTTTTTAAAATGTGGTCCACATAAAAAGAAATTTTTTTAAAGAAGCTTGCAGGGTGCCTACGATGTGCCAGGCCTGTGGCTAGGCAAAAGTGAAGTGGGGATGGAGAAGCAAACAGAGTTAGCATCACTGCAGACACCTCCCCCTCCCACTGCTACGCCCGCCCTCCAGCCGGCAGCTCCAGACCGGCCACAGGCTCTGTCTCAGGCTCCCAGCTCCTGCAGCAGCGCTGGGCTCCGTGCTCGGAAGGGCCCCACACTTTGTTTATGTTCTGCTGTCACTGTCTGGAAAATCATAATAATTTCTGAACAAGGGGCCCTGCATTTTCACTTGGCACTGGGTTCTGTATATCAGGCATCCAGCCCTGGCTGACACGGAGCTGAGCTAGAAGGCTCCCCTTCCCTTGCCAGAGCCAGCCAAATGGATGCTTGCTTTCTGTTGGGATTTGGAGACATTATTTGATCTCTCTCATCAAGCGCCTTGTGAGTTTTCTCGGAGGGTCAAGAGAAGTGTTTGTCTTTTAGAGGAACCGGAGAGCCCAGGAAACAGGGAGAGAGGGGGCCACACGATGCTTTAATAGGGAGGAGGTGGGGGCTAAAAGAGTTGGATATGACTTAGCTGCTAAGCAACAGCAACAAAAAAGATGGGGGGCAGGTTGCTGATTACCAGGGACTCTGTCCCCTGAGATTTTTCTATAAATCACAGCTCTGACTCCCAGGACCCCAAAACCTCCTGGAAGGGAAGGGAAACACCACTGGTCAGCACCACTTTGTGCCCAGAGCTTTCCCTAATGTCACCAAATCATTATCATCATCATTATTATCAGTCCGTTTTGCACAGGATGAAGCTGAGACTCCATAAGGCAATGCCAATTGGTTGAGATCCCCTGGCTTGTGGGAGCAGGGGACGGAGGTAGAGAAGCAGGGGTGGCAGAAAGCAGGACCACGCTACCCATTTCACGGGCCCTGAGAACTGTGGCCTCGCTCCCCGAAAACTACTAAATGTTACATTTGATGGCTGCATTGACACAAAGGTGAATAGATTAAGATTACAAAAGAAAACATCTTCTGCAGTCTAAAAGTCCATTGTCTTTCTGGGATTTCCCTGGTGGATCAGCAGTTAGGACTCCTCGCTTTTCACTGCCAAGGGCCCAGGTCTGATCCCTGGTTGGTGACCTAAGATCCCTCAAGCCATGCAGCACAACCAAAAAATAAAAAATTCATGGTCTCCCTTCTAATTATAAAGAAGTGAGAACACTGGGGAGAGGTCCCTAGAAGCCACGTGAGCCCCACGCTCTATCCCTCCGGCATTTCATAGAGAAGTTGGCCCTGGCAGGTGTAGAGGCAGAGAAAAAAGAGAAGAGAGGCGTGGGGAGAAGGGAGAGCAGGAAGAAACATCAAGGCTGCAAGGAAACAGGACTGGTGGCGGCCAGAACTTCCATCTCTGCCCCAGCATTTGCACCCTGGGACTCACCTCCCCTGAGACCCCATCTCCCTGACCACCTGGATTCATCTCCTCTGGAAGCTCTCTTTTTTTTAAATTAATTTATTTTATCACACTGCATTAGATGTGGGATCTTCATTCCCTGACTGGGGATCGAACCCACGTTCCCTTCAGTGGAAGGGCAGGGTCTTAAACACTAGACCACCAGGGAAGTCCCATTTCTGGGAGCGTTATCTTCCCAGCCTGCACCTGTCTGAAGCTACATCTAGATCAGCCCTGTCCCAGGACCCCCACCCCACCTGTTCTAGAAGCCACTACCCCTTCCCAGACTGGACCTGGGTCTTCCGATTTATGGCATCACCTTGGCGGGCCATACCGGTCATGCAGCTGGCAGCACTGTTACCTTTTGCTGCCATCAACACGGCTCTTTACTCCCGGTAAAATGACCTTAATTTATCAGGCATTATGACTAATACCAGATGATTACGGCCATTAATATTAATGGTTTTCAGTCCCAGGAGGGGACTTGGGTGCTAATTGGCACTCTTCTCTTTGCTTCTTTTCTCAATACGGCTGCCGATTTCCGATGTTCTGCATTTCAGCGTCTTAGTTTCAAAGGGAAATATCGCGTGAGGCATTTTCTTATTTCTGGATGATTCTCTCATTCCATTCCCTCATTTCCTTCTGATCCTGTAAGCAGTCTAGAAACACGCCGGATGCACTGGGGGCTCCAGGATACTGACAAAGGGCTGAGGTCACGGCTGAGCGGAAGACGGCTGCGTTGAGCTGCCGGGAGAGGCAGCGCTTTGCCCAGAGGAAGGGAGACAGCAGGGAATGTGTACATTTGCCCAGAAACAGAGCCCCGTCTCAGACACCCACGCCTTCCTCTATCTCTAATCAAACACTTTCTGGTCTTTTTATATAAGGTGGAATCTAAATCAACCCCTCCCAACACCCCGTCTCTGGGTTGCCTGAACAAATGGGGTTGTTTGGGGGCTCAGATCGGAGAGGACAGATCACACTCCTCCTCCTTCTGGCTCTTAGGTTTTGGGGGCACTGGGAGCTGATGTTGCCCGCGCTGAGAGAGATGTCCTTGTCGTCTTTCCGTTTCCAGTGGAAGATAGGTTGCAAATAGCAGCCTGTTGCCATGGTCACGATGGCGCTTCCTTCTGGGGGCGGGGCGGAAAATGGCCTCCCTGGGGGGTCCCTGGGCCGCCTCGCCCACTCGGGTTTGGGCCCCCTCTGCTGGGGCATTCATCTCAGAACGCCTTTCTGGAGCTGTAGGCGGGTGAGGTGCCAGAAGGCCCCTGGGCTGGGATGGAGCGCTGGTATCCTGACTGAGGCCACAGTCCAGCTCCGGGAAATGGCAGCCGTGCCAGAAAATGAGCATGAAGTACTGCCAAACCTTCCGATTATCTAAATGAGAACTTTGGTTTATACGGTCACTCTCCCAATTACTTTTATTGTTGGCAAAGACGGCACATCGTAAAATTTTTTAAGAACGGTGTGGGCCAAACAAAACACGTCCGTGGGCCAGCCATTTTGTCTGGCCGGCTCGGCAGTCGTTCCGCGACCAGAGCGGAGAAGCGTCACCCAAAATGGCAGCCGGCGCGCTTTTGGGGTCGCGAGGTCAGCGAATCCGGGCACACCGCTTTGTGAGGAGACGCGAGGCACTGGCAGGCAGATTCTGAGCCACTGCTCCACCGGGCGAGTCCCGCCTAATGGTGTTGATCCTGGGCTCATCGAGGGGCGCGTGGCCTGCGTCTGCCCCCGGCTTGCTGAGTGAGTTTGAACTCTCCGCCCTCCCAGGGTCTCCGCGTCTGTACCATGATGGGACTGGATCATTTCGGAGGGTCTGGCTCCTGCTCACTGACTGCCCCTCCTATGCTCATTTACTCTGCGTGACATGATGTCCACTCTGTGTGACGCCCAGAAATTTCCACAGATTTCAGTCAAGAGACTGCTGCCTCCATCCATTCACGTCTTCATTACCAGTGAGTGACCTGTTGAACAGCCTCTGTGACGATGGCTGAACTGGGAATGGGAATGAAGCCCTGAGGAGGACAGGCAAGATCCCTGGCCCACATGAGCTCACCTCCTGCTGGCAGAGGCAGGAAAAATGGAAGGATCATCTGCATTTCTGCTCAGACACTGGTGAGACGCTAAGCTTGAGTCATTACCTGGATTGGTTTGGACAATGTCCAGTCTCTTCAGACTCAGCTGAGCTATTACAACCTCCAGGAAACTCCCTAACCAATTTCCCCACCCCTCTTCCACCTGCCGCCCCCAGGAGTCAGGATTTGCCTCTGATTCTTCAACTTCGGCACTGTTGACATCTGGATAATTCTATAGTGGGGGCTGTCCTGTACAGTATACTATGTTTAATAGTATCACATACCTGCTAGATGCCAGTAGCCAGTTGCCCTGATATGCCCTCACACACACACAGGTATTGCATCAAAAATGTCTTGTGGAGGGGAAAAAAAATCACCTTTGGGTAAAAACTGCTGGTTTGAGACCATCATGGTGGCCCCATTCCTTTTGCCAATGATGGCTTAGATGTAGGTACGTGATGCCACCCATCAAATCTGCTGGGACATTTCTGGAAAGGTTTCATCTATTTCAGAAAATGATAGGAGGATGAGGAGGAATTTTTTCCTGTTCTTGATTGTGGTCATGACTTCACATGATGGTCAAATGATGGCAGCCACTTTGGGTCCGTGAGGTGAGTGAGCCTGGGAAAAGAGCCAATCCTGAGGTTGGTAGAGCAGATGGTAGAGAACTTGGATCTCTGATGGTGGTGTTGTGAACCTCAGAGATGGGGTAAGTCTATCTCTGGACATTTTGTTATGTGAAGCTATAAATCTCCTGTTTGACCCTTTCTTAGTCAGAATTTTCTACTTCATGAACCAAGAGCATTTCTCACAGATAAATCATGCTTTAGACCTTATCTCACATGTCAACTTCCTCACAGAGATCTCCTCTGCTCCCTGGTAGAAATTAGGTTGCCCTTATTATTCTGAACTTTCCTCTGGTGGCATTCATCCCAGTTTGTGTTAATATTTTGTGCATCTGTTAAGACTCATCTTGCTGTACTAGTCTGTGAGCTCCATGAAGACAAAGAACCTGTTTTATCTTTTCTTTCCACTGTACCCAGTGACTAACACAGTGCCTGACACGTAGGAGACCCTCTATGTATTTTTGTTGAAATAATGAACGAATGGGGAAGTGGGTGGGTGTGTGGATGGAAATATGAAAAGGTGTGTGTTTGAAGCTGTGCTGTGCACTTTGGTGGGGAAGTCTTAGGTCTGCAAACCCCAAAGCTGAACCTAGAACTTCAAAAGTGAACAGAGGGCCCCTGAAACGCATCTCATTCAGCTCTGAAGAAAGCACACCTGTGAAATCACATTACGCAAATGCTTCACAAGACAGCAACCTTGTCTTCCTTGAACCTAGACATCAGAGTTGTTTGAAAAGTGGCTACGGAGGCCACAGTGCAGAGCGGCCTGCCAGGCAGTGGAAGGACAGAGTCGAGAAAGAGCACAGATTTAGCCTGGAATCCCTGGGTGGGTGGAGGCCTGAGAAAAGCTGATTGGCTTTGTTCAAGTGAAATCTGATGAAATGTGGAGAATACTTCTATCAGAGGCAGTGAGGAGTGTTCTGGCTGAATCACCCACCTGGACAGTGAAGGTGGCAGTGAGGGGGGGTTTTGTGGTTCAGATGGGGAAACCAAGGCCCACAGCAAGTGAAGAACTTGACTGGCGTTCCCCAGAAAGTGGCCTCAAGTCACCTGGCTAGTTACTTGTATTGTGCTGTAGCTGAAAGCATCACACCCTGTGTGCCCTTGGGTAAGTCACTTTCTTTCTCTGAGCCTCCATCTCTTTGCTGGGATAATTGGGGTGCGAGGTTCTCTCAAACTAAGCAAGGCTGTTGGGTAGCTTCAGCAAGACATCAGGGAGCAAGCCCACAGGTGAATCGTTGGGGCTTGGGGGTGGAATTCTGTCTTGAAAGCCTTCTTAAAACATCCAGGAAGACAGACAGCATGGGGCTGCCTGAACTGGGGATATTTTCTTATTTGTGTGTTTCCCCTTCTAACTAAAACTCTGTTGTCATGGAAATGCTTCTCTTGGTATTTTTTTAAAAATGGTTTGGTTGGGATGTAATTCATGGCATAAAATTCACCCATTTAAAAGTTGTAACTCAGGGGTTTCCCTGGCAGTCCAGTGGTTAAAATGTGAGCTTCACCTGCAAGGGGCGTTAGTTCAATCCCTGGTTAGGTAACTAAGATCCCACATGCCCCAAAATGCGGCCAAAAAATACATAAATAAAATAAAACCCTGTGAACCTATATATTTTTTAAAAGGTATGACTCAGTAGTTTTTAGTGTATTTGCAGAGTTTGTGCAGCCATCAGTACAGTCTAATTCTAGAACGTTTACATCATCCCCCAAAGAAACCCCATACCCACTAGCAGTCACGCTCCATTCCTGGGTTCCCTTGGCCCCTGACAACCAGTAATCTGCTTTCTGTCCATTTAGATTCACCTCTTCTGGACACTTCAAATGGATCATACACCAGGTGGCCTTTTGCATCTGGCTTCTTTCACTTAGCGTAGTATGTTCAAGATTCATCCATGTTGTAGCAAGTATCAGCGCTTCCTTCCTTTTTATGGATGAATAATATCCCATTGTATGGATATGCCACATTTGGTGCATCCTTCGTCAGTTTGTAGGCATTTGGGTTTTTTCTGCTTCCTGGCTTTTATGACTAAGGCTGCTGTGAACATTCATGTACATGTTTTCATATGGAGAGAGGATTTTAGGTCTCTTGGATCTATACCCAGGAGTGGAATTGCTGGCTCGTATGGCAACTCTGTTTAACAGTTTAAGGAACTGCTTTCTGGGTCTCTCTTCCCCCCAGACTGTGGAGTAGAATTCAGGTCAGAGCTGCTCTTGTGGGTCAAGGCTTTTACCTCGTAGTTGGATGTTGCCAAGGTCTCTTCGTCTACTTGAATATTCTAAAGGGATCCCACAGGAGGACAGTTTGGATTCAAGTCTGCTCCTTCAAGGTTGTGTGATCTCGGGTAGGTGACCAAACCTCTCTAATCTCCATTTCCTTCCCTGCAAAATAAGGAAAGATGCCATTCCTGGCTTGAAAGATCATTATGACAGTCAAAATGAGGACATGTGTGCAAGAAGTATTTGTAAAAGCTAAAAACAGCTGTGTGTTACAGTGCAGCTGCTATGCCGTGTCCAACTCTTTGCGACCCCATGGACTGCAACACACCAGTAGAGATGTTATTTGTTCATTCAACAGATATTTGTCAAGAGCCTGTTATTTGCCAGATATTATGTTATGTGATGGAGATGGACCTGTGATCAAGGCAAATAAAATGCATGCCCTCTGAGATTTTACATTCTGGTCCTTTCAGATTGTGGCCAGCCACTCTATAATCTTGAGCAAACCATGCTTCCTTTTCAGGCCTCAGTTTTACCACCTGTTATCCCCTGGAGAAGGAAATGGCAGCCCACCCCAGTATTCTTGCCTGGAAAATTCCATGGATGGAGGGTCCATGGGATCTCAAAGAGTCGGACATGACTGAGCAACTTCACTTTTCAAATGGGTGTGCTGGATACATCCAGGTGCAGTCCATCAGTAAATGAACCATACTGGGCACAAATGAACCATACTTCAGGGACACAAACTCCCAAACTGCAGGAATCATCTTCAGGATACAAGGAGAGTGGGCTCTTCCTAGACATTCAGAAGAGTTAAAGACGGCCCATCCAGGAGAGGCATGTGGACTAGAACAAGCTTCCTTCCCCCCTCTTCCACATCTTCGGGACTCAGTGACACCACCATCCGCAGGCAGCTCGCAGCCTAACAGGCACGATTCTGTTACATCCACTGGCTCCTTCCTGTAGTGGAACCCAGCCTGGTGGTCCAGACCTGACTGCGGGCCACAACTGAGAAAGGGGCCCTCTGGAAGTGTGTGTTCCTCACGAAGAACAAAGATGTAGGCAGCAGTCTAAAATAGATGCGGAAAAACACTGCTTTTTGTTTTCTCTCTGGAAGGGTGGCTGAGTGAGCCACGGCAGGGGACCCAGAACGTCTGTACTGAAAACGCTGTTATTATAAGGCAGGCAGAGGAAGGAGCCGGGAGGGGCTGATGGAAGACACCACCCTTATCACCCCTGTATGCTCTCCAGACTGGGGTTTGGCCCCAAGAGAGCCCTGAGCCAGACTTGATACCAAGGGTGATTCTCACTTCTGCTTCCCCGCCCCTGCTGGCTCTGACCGTGTCCCTTGCCTTGCTCCACAGTCTTCTGTGGCTCCCCGCTACCCTCGGGAGAAGCGGAAGGACTTAAGGCATTCAGGGCTCTCCGGGTTCTGGTCCCAAGTGACTTTGCTGGCCTCTCTCCACTCCAGGCTACTTTTTGGCAGTCCTAGAACTTGCCCTACACTTTCATGCCTTTGCTGACCCAGTCCCTTCACCTAGAACCCCTAGATTAGTCCATCAACTCAATTCTATCTAATCAAAGCAAAAAAATTTCTATGCCCCACTCCCTCCCTCCCAAACCAAGCTTAGTGACCTCAGCCTAGAGACCTGACTTGAGAGTATAAAATTCCTCAGAGACTGCGTGTGGTCAAGTAAATGAATGAGGTGGCCAAGTGAGGTGCCCAGCAGACAGAAATTCTCAAGCTCTGTCTAACAGAGTGGATGCTTCTCAGTCCTCCCCAGTTGCTGAGATGCAGGAACATGTAGCTTGATCCTCCAGTTTTGCAAGAGAAGTTGAAATTTGGGATTATAGAATGAAATCTCCTCAATTTTATGAATGTTAGCAACTAATTCAATGTTTTGGAAACACTTTAGACCAAACAAAATGTATCTATGGGCCAGATTCAATTTACAGTCCACGAATTTTCAATTTCCCTTTCCTTGTTACAAACAGAAGAAGCTAAGTCACAGTGTGTTATACGTCAGCAGTCTCCAGCCTTTTAGGCACCAGGGGCCAGTTTCGTGGAAGACAATTTTTCCATGGACCAGGGGATGGGAAGATGGTTTGGGGATGATTCAAGTGCATTACATTTATTATGCACTTTATTTCTGTTATTATTACATCAGCTCCACCTCGATCATCAGGCATTCAATTCTAGAGGTTGGGGACCCCTGTTATACAATATATAGATTCATTTGGCCTTATCCTTGAGGCTGGGTTGGGTGCCCTCTCCTAGGGTGGTCTTGACAGTGTCTCTCTAAGGAGATGAGATTTGTGCAAAGACGTAAAGGGAATGAGGGAGTCAGGTTGTGGTTAATCTGGAGGAAGAACTTTCCAGGAAGTCAGAACTGCAAACGCAAGGGCCCTGAGACAGGAAAGAGCCTGGTATGTCTGAGGCATAGCAGCAAGGCTGTGGGCTGGAGTTGGAGAAAGACAGGAGGAGAGAGGGGAAGGGTTTGAGGAGTGATAACCAGGTCCACATCTACACAGGGCCCATAGGAGCCTGAATTTAATTCAGAATGAACAATGAAGACAACGAATTGATGAATGAATGAATGAAGGGATGAATGAATGAATGGGTTCCAAACTCCTCCCCAGAATATTCATATTTGCTGTGGGAGTGTGGGTGTGGCTGCTTTGTCTTAGGGTCTGAAGTCCTCAGAATTATGCTGGAAGACGTTGGTCTGTGGTTAACATCGCCGGGTTGCCATCAGTCTGGAGCTGTTTTAACAGTGCTTGATTAGAAGCCTCAGATGGAGAGGGGTCTTCATGAGGGTGGGTATGTATGAGAAAGACAGACAAATGGAGAGGAACCAGGCAGAAAGAGATGGGGTTCACCAGAGTGCCCGTCTAGTACCCTCATCCCAGCAGGCCGGGGACACCAGGCCTCCAGGGGGGTACTCTGAGCTCCCCAGCGCGCCCATGAGACTTCTGATCACCAGGTCCTCAGGACTCCTGCAGCCACCCCTGGTGAACCCACCGATGATAGCATGTGGCAGACCCGCTCCTGTCCTTGGCCGCACTCGGCCTATGAGACTATTTTCTGCCTTGACTCAGGCACTGGCATCCCAGCTGCTGGCAAGCAAGTCTGGTGGGGTTGCCATGGCGACCCTCGGGCATGGATTCCCAGAGATGCTCCCTGCATCCTCCTCGAGCCTGCCACTGCTGATTGCTGGGGGAGAGCGTGACTCACCGTTAAATATATCACGGCCGTCCCAAATTGGCGGCTCAGCCCCGGCAGCCGGATGTGGGGACAGGCAGCATCTGGGGGCGTGTGGGGTTGGGAGGCTGAGAGGCACGACCTCCTGTGCATCTTCAGAGCCTTCGGCTCCTGTCTCTCCTGGGCGGTACCTTCACCAATCCCCTGCCCAGATCTCCTGCCTTTCCCAGTCTGTCTGGGTTCACTTGCTAGCCGGGTGACCTTGGACAAGAAGCTTTCCTTCTCTGGGCCTCAAAGTCCTCATCTGTAAAATGGGGGTGATGTGAACGCTGATGGTCAAGAACTGTGGAGGTCTGAGCTTTCACTTGGCTTGCAGGCTAACAAGTGGAGCCTGCCACCGCTGAGTGGATTCTGGCAGGAGACGTGAGCTCACTGTGTCAGAGACGGGGGACTATTACAGCTCAGCAGGCAGCATGAACTTCACGTTCCCATCAGCCCTCTTTGCCCCCCGGTTCCGTGGGAGCCCTGCAAGGTGGCCCAGATGGCTGCTGCACCACCTGGACTTGTCACAGCTGAGGATCCCCGGGCTTAGGAAACCCCCAATTTTACAAGAAAGCTGCTGGCAAACCGGCTCAGCCTTTGCCCTGGTAGGAGACCTCATTTTTCTTATACTGATGGGGAAATAACTCTCGCTGTACTATTTCTATCTTCCAAGGCTGCCGGCTAGACATCCTTGAGAAGAGAGTCCAGAACAAGGCTCTCATTGTCTCCTGCTCAGAAGACAGGCAGACATGGAGTGACCCGTGGAGAATCGTCTCCTGCATCAGTCTGTAGGGCTGTTGGGAGAGCAAAGGAGTTCGTACATGTTAACTGCTTCACACGGCCACCTGGCGAAGAATAAGCACTTAATAATGTCAGCAGTTATCATATGATTATCAGCTTTTGTTGTTTAGTCACAAAGTTGTGTCTGACTCTTTTGTGACCCCATGGACTGTAGCCCCGCAGGCTCCTCTGTCCATGAGATTTTCCAGGCAAGAATATTTGCCTGGACTGCAAGGAGTTGCCATTTCCTTCTCCAGCGGCTCTTCCTAACCCAAGGATCAAACCTGCATCTCCTGAATTGGCAGACGGATTCTTTACCCCTCAACCATCAGGGAACTCCCTTCATGGTATAATCTCTTTTTAACTAGTAGGAAGTCAGAGGCCTTCTGCTCTGTGGTTTCCCCAGTTAGGTGACTAAGAAAATCCCAGCTTCTATCCTTTCTCACCAGGACATACCTACTTATCTCCTGGGCTCCTCAAAGCTTTAACAACCCCTAGTCCACACCCCCAGCTCCTCCCTCTGACTTCTCTGGGTTCTTTTTTTAATGGCTTTATTGGGGAAATAATGTATATACCATAACATTGCTTCATTTTAAAATGTACAATGCAATAGTTTTTAGTAAATTTGCGGAGCTGTACTATGATCCGATTTCAGAACATTTCCCCAAGAAAAAACTTCCCGCCTACTTGTATTCACTCCCCATTCCCACTCATAGGCCCAGGACGCCACATATCTGCTTTCTGTCTCTGTGGACCTGCTTCTTTTGGACATTTCATAGAAACAGACTCACACAATATGTGGTCCGTTGTGTCTGGCTTCTTCCGTGTTTTAAAGGTTTGTCCATGGCATCACATGCATCAGTGCCTCATTCCTTATTTACAGCTAAGTAGTATTTCATTCTTTGTCTAGCCCACACTTTGTATCCAATAACCTTCCCTAGGTTCCTGATGAGCGCTTTTGGGACGCTGTCATTTTCGGCATGGGCATTGACTCTCACAGCTGGGATCCTGCTATTGGCATTCCTTAGGCCTTATCCTGTCATCTTGGCCCTTTGGGGAGTCCTGGCGAGCTGAAAATAAGAGAGGAGCAGTTTGGCAGATGGAGTTTTAGAGACTTTTAAAACCGCATGGCACATCTACTTCCATGAAAAGCAAGCAAACCCATTTCCATGGAGCCAGTCCAAGCCCTGGAGAAAGAGGCATTCATGAAGATTTTACAGGCCAAATTCCCCTACCTCTTCCCAGCTCCATCTCCACGGCAGCCCCACACGATCATCCAAAGAACAGAAGGAGCGGTTTCTGGTGCTTTCCCATACAAAGGCCTTATCTCCTTAGACATTCCAAATAAGACAAGAGCTCCCAGATAATTCCATGTTCCATGAAAAATATGCAATACTGAATTAAAGGAAAACATCTCTTCTCCACCTCTGCCACCTTCACCCCTGACTATGGATGCTCTGGGGGTGTGTTTGGTTAATAAAGAATTCTGTCTCAAAAAAGTAAGAGTCCACGACTATTCTTAGCTATTTTAGTTGATGAACTGGGGAGAGATTGGGGGAAAGTCAGCAGGTGAAGTTTTCTGGCCTGATTTATTGACCTTCCTTCAAATAACCAGGAATCGGGATTCCTCGGTGGCTCAGACAGTAAAGAGTCTGCCTGCAATGTGGGAGACGCAGTTCGATCTCTGGGTCAGGAACATCCCCTGGAGAAGGAAATGGCAACACACTCCAGTATTCTCGTCTGGAAAATCCCATGGACGGAGGAGCCTGGCGGGCTACAGTCCTTGAGGTAGCAAAGAGTCAGACACGACTGAGCAACTTCACTTCCTCCTTTCCTCAAATAACCAGGCTTCTCTGCTGTTATTCACATCTTACATCTGGATTTAGGCTTCCTGCAAGATGTAGGAAATGCCTTTCAAGTTGGAGAGCGTGTTGGGGAGGTGTTCTGGTTATCTATTGTCGCGTGACAAGCCACCCCCAAGACCGAGTGGCTTGAAACAAAATCATTGATTTATTCATGAGTCTGCAATGGTTACAGGGATGGGTGGGGCTAGTTCACTTCTACGGGGCACGTGGGGCCCCCTAGGACCCCTCAGCTGGGGCCCCTCACCCAGCCCAGCCTCGGAGTCGCTCCTGGCTGTCAGTGCCTCTCCGTGGAGTAGCCTGCATCTCCTCAGAGCATGGTAACCGGGCTCCCCGCGTGACCATCTCAAGAAACAGGAAGTGATAGATGCCCGTTTCTCAAGGCTCGGGTCCTGAAACTGGCAGCACATCATTTCGGCCATACTCTGTTGAACAAGCGATTGAAGAGCCCAAATTCAGGAGGAAGGAACATCGACCTCACCTCGAGGCGGAGACCGTGCTGGCAGTGTCTTCTCTTGGCCGTGCTGTGCACGTGTGGGGTCTTAGTTCCCAGACCAGGAATCAGACCCGCACCCCCGCCACTGGATCACCAGGCAGTCCCTGGAAGTGAGGTTTTTAGACTCACAGGGCTAGCAAGTTCATGGCACGTCAGGAAATCAGGAGGTTTTGGAGGAGGTGTGATGGGACTCTCAAGCCAAAGGGTCTGCCCTAGAACAGGACCCCCCGAGTGCCTTGTGTTGGCCAAAGTGTCATACATGCTCAGTCACTCAGCTGTGTCTGGCTCTTTGCAACCCCTTGGACTGTAGCTCCCCAGACTCTGCAGGCCATGGGATTTTCCAGGCAAGAATACTGGAGTGGGTTGCCATTTCCTTCTCCAGGGGATCTTCCCAACCCAGGAACTGAACCTGCTTCTCCTGCATTAGCAGGTGAATTATTTACCACTGAGCCACCTGGAAAGCCCCTGGCCAAAGTTGGTTTCAGCCAAATTTCATTTCGCCTCATGGGCCAAATGCGAAGCAGGACTCCACCCTACCTGTTCCACGCCCCCAGGTCAGGGTCCTGCGTTTGGAAATCCGGGCCTTCTTGCTCAGTCTTGGCCCACGACATCCTCTCACAGGTGGGGAAACCCAGGGACTTTCCCGGCGGTCCAGTAGTTAAGCCTTCCAAAGCATAGGATGTGGGTCCCACCCCTGGTCAGGGAGCCAAGATCCCGCATGCTTCCTGGCCGAAAACCCAAAACATAAAACAGAAATGATATTGTTACAACTTCAATAAGGACTTTAAAAATGGTCCATAGCAAAAAAAAAAAAAAAAAAATCTTTAAAAAGAAAAAAGAATGGGGAGACCCACTAATGTGTTGGCCCGGCAACACACAAGTGCCTGCGCCAGGCCCCTAAGCCCCTGCTTTAATGGAATCCTGAGAGACCTCTCCAGACACACCTTTCACCAGACCTTTTAGGGAAAATACCTAGAGCTCTCCGGCTTCTTCCGGGAACACACCAGCAGTGAAGCGTAACCTCCCCCCCCCCCCCGAAACTCAGGGTACCATGTGACTGGACACCCTTGTCGTCTGGATTTTCTAGAATCCTTTTTCTTCAGACCCTGGTCGGCAGGCCTGTCCTTACCTGCATGGCTCTCTTAGCAGCAAATTGCTAATGCCAGTGTGCTTAGAGGACCTCTTCTTGGATAGGAGGGGACAAGACCGGGTTTTGGGTGCTGTCTTCTGCTCTTAGTGGCTGTGGGTCATCAGGCAAGTGACTTCACTTCTCTGAGTCTCCGTTCCCTTTTCTGGCAGGCAGGAATACTGTTCCCGGGTATCGCGAGAATGGAGTTGACAGTGTACCTATTACACTCCATACGGCGCTTCACCCTATAATAGCTGCTCAGTTCATGGTAACTGTCATGATTATGAATGATCATTTTCTGCCTAATAATGGTCTTTTGGAAAGGGGAGCCAATTCCAAGGAAAGCTGATTTTCTGTAAGATCTCATTTGCTGGGACTTCCCTGGTGGTCCAGTGGTTAAACCTCCACCTTCCAAAGCAGGGGGCCCCAGGTTCAATCCCTGGTTGGAGAACTAGAGTCCACATGCTGCAGTGAAGATCAAAGATTCCGAGCATCACAACTAAGACCCGGCACAGCCAACCAAATAAATAAATAATATTTTATTAAAAAAAGATTTCATTTGCTGTTTACAAAGGAATGTTTCCCAGTTCCTTGGTAACCATGCATTTGGAGCAGTATGTCACGATACAAATTCTACCTTGAGCCCCAAAACATTCTCATTGTGTTCCTTGACGACCTTGGCTGAACAGAGCATGCTTTGCCTCCAGTCAAACGCGCAAAACAGGTATTGTTACAGCAGTGACGTGGGCGGGTGGCCAGCAGAAAAACTGCCCAACCCCAGTGGGAAGTCAGATCTGCGTTTCTTGAAAGGAAAAATCCACGGGGCATTTCATTTCAACTTAACCTGGTTGGAGTACTAAGGAGTCTGGATTCACTTGTTTGTTCTCCAACAAATCTTTCTGTAGTGTCTACTGTACACCAGCCCCTTGCTAGGCTCCGAGCAAACAGTGATGAAGGAAAAGAGCCAAGGCCCCAGAGCTCATGAAGCTTACTGTCTAGAAAGGAGAGAGGAACAAAAAACAACAGGACACCGTGAAATACATAATATCTGTCCACAGATGTACTTCCCTGGTGGCTTGATGGTAAAGAATCCACCTGCCAACGCAGGAGACACAGGTTTGATCCCTGGGTCAGGAAGATTCTCTCGGGGAGGAAACGGCAACCCACTCCAGTGTTCTTGCCTGTAAAATCCCATGGACAGAGGAACCCTGTGGGCTACAGTCCACGGGGGCACAAAAGAGTTGGCCATGACTTAGCAACTAAACAACAATAAATCCACAGATGTAATAAGGAAGGGCACAGATTTTGATGGAAAGTTGGTGGCATTTGAAGGAGGTCAGGGTAAGCCCTTCTGGGGATGTGACATTTAAGCAGAGATGTGAAATAAGTGAAGAAAAGAGATGTGTGTTGTGTGGGGGGTGGAGTGTTCTTGGCAGAGGGAATGAATAGTGCAAAGGCCCTGAGGCTGGAAGTGACTGGTGTGTTCCAGGAGCAGCAAGAAGGCCAGTGTGGCTGCAGCAGGGTGAGCAAGGGGAGGGGCGGAGAGAGGCAGGCCAGAGAGCGAAGAAGGGCCCGCCATGCAGGGCCTCGAGGGCCTGGAAAGGACGTCAGCCTTTGTTCTGAGCGCATTGGGAGACAGCCAAGGAGAGAGAAATGACCCAGCTTAGGTTCCAGGACCCCTCAGATGAACGTGGAAAATGAATCGGTTTATCATAAGCACAAGGACAGAAGCAGGAAGATAGTGAGGAGGTGACTGCAACCATCCAAGCAGAAGAGGATGGTGGCCTGGCCCAGCGGCGTCTGTTAGGGGAGGGGGAGAAGTGGGTACATTCCAGATACCTCTTTTTATTTTTTTGGTCCACACTGTGAGACACGGGATCTTAGTTCCCCAACCAGGGATCGAACCAATACTCCCTTTTGTGGAAGCCCGGAATCTTAACCACTAGACTGCCAGGGAGATTCTCCCAAAATCCCTTAAAGGTAGATGTGACAGGTCTTGCTAATGCCTTAGCTCTTCTGAGATTCCCTGTCACTTGTGCCTCCACCTGCTCCCCCAGCAGCAGGCTCAGAAGCACAGTCTAGACCAGGTCAGCTGGGCTCTGCCCACTTGGAGAGACGGCGGCCTGGTCCACCCATGCCCTGGGGACCCAAGCCCTGGGCAAGGGCCACCCTGGCTTCTCCTAGGTGGTGTCTCAGAAAGAGTTCTGGACTGAAGAGCCTTACCATGGGTGACATCCCCCACTGTGTGACCTTAGACAAGTCCCCTTCCCCATGCTGAATCTCAGCTTGCCTATCTGTGAAATGAGAATTTTGAAACCAACCCTACTTCCTCCTGGGGTGGCTGTGAGAAGTCAGATGCAGGCTGGATACGAGTTCTGAGGTCAGTAAAGGGCCACATTCACAAAAGGGTTAAACTCAAGTATGTTATCAGTAGTGATATTTGGTCATTTCTGCTGTCCTGCGGGCTGCTGGGGAACTTTGGCCTTGGTTCAGGTCAGGTCACAGCTATGCTAAATCAACATATCTCACTTTTCTTATTGAAGTATAGTTTATTTGCAATATTAGTTTCAGGTGTACAACCTAGTGGTTCTATATTCTCACAGATGATACTCCATTTAAAGTTATTAGAAAAGATTCTCTAAATTCCCTGTGCTGTATATTACATCTTTGTATCTAATTTATTTTATACCTAGTAATTTATCTCTCTTAATCCGCTACTCTATCTTGTCTCTCCCCACTGGCTAGATGCTAGTCCATTCTCTGTATCTGTGAATCTGTTTCTATTTTATTATATTGATTCATTTATTTCATTTTCTTAGATTTATAAGTAAAAACATACAACATCTCTTACTTTGATGTTTTAGCCAAACAGCCTGGGCTGCGTGTGGGATTGGACAGAACTGGGTGGAGCTTCTAGCTCAGTTTCCGGAAAGCCAGCTAAAAAAACCCGACGATCCCCCAAGTTCACAGCCAGACCAGCCTTCCAGTCTGGTATTCCCTCCTGCCCCCTCTCACCCAAGGTTCCCAGGGGGGAGCCAGGCCCTGCCACTGCAGGGAGTGAATTTGTCGCTGTCCCCCGGGAGTGGCTAAATGTAGATCGTGAGCTTACTGTTCCTCTTCTCTGAGCTTCCCTGGTCCCTCCCTGAGAAC